CCCAAGTATACGTATACATAACTGCGGCCTCAGCCCCAAAGATGCATAAAGNTTTTGAACCACACTATACTTTAACGGCCGTTTGGCCAATTAAGAATAACATTTTTTCAAAAACCCTATATATATATAGCGTTCTTTAGTAAAACGTTATACATATGGAGTGGGCCCACAAATAATTCTTCTGTGCTTAACTGACATAACAATAATTCAGCTGGGTATAGCATTTTCTTAAAAGACGCTAAACCTCAAATAACTGAACTCCTGGACTGGTTTTTGCCTTATTTAAAGAGGTGAAGGATTTTTTTAAAATTCATAAACATTTTTCAAATCTTCTGAAATTTTTCTTTGTTAGTTGTTTTGCATTTTGTCATAATGTTTGAAGAGCGAAAAATTAGGGTTTCATAATATTGGGGGGGTGAGGTTGTGGTGGCGAATAACTCAGTAAGCTATAGTTTATCTCCACAGTCTCATGTTAAGTTGCCACTCAGAATGGAGTACGATAAATTGGTATCGTTGATATGTAAACAAATGAGTGTGAGCAAACGTTTGGTGAATCTTAAAATAATCGGAAGATATCCGTATTCTGTGACTCCGCAAGGGGTTGATTGTTATGCTGAGTTTAACATCGAATAAGATGAAACTATGAGAGATTTTTTGGGGACTCCAGATGAATACCGAGAATTTATTGTGATAAAACTGTTGGAAATGTACGTCAAGGCTGAAGACGTTCGCAATGATGAGGTTGCGGAAAGTGGGAAAATCCCTCAATGATTAGGTGGTTAATTTTGGAGCAGTTTTAGCCGAACAAGTTCCGACTGAAAGAGTTTGGACGGATCTAAACTTATCTCCACGAGCAAATGAGGAGCGAGAAAATAATTACTCCCCTAGTATACATAATCAACAAGACGAGTGGTAAACTTCAATTTTTCTTTGTGTTATGATGTATATTTTTGTGTATTGTATTTGTATTAACACTCATATATTCTACAGGGGGTACCGGCCAGATATGAATTTTACAAGTTATGAACCAACGGCCAGTTGGAATATGCCTAGGTTTGGTGTGTTGGATCATGGTGGTCCATCCGGGAGTCAGCATCAATAAGATAATGTGCTTCATGGGATATCAACACATTATTATTTGTAAGTGAATATATAAAGTTATATGTATTGTTTGGACCAATTTCAGTAACTCATTATTTCTTTAGTTGTGCAGTGAAAATGAGCAACTTGATGGTCCTGTCCTCACTCAATTGCCCGAAGACGGCGTATTTACTCCGGATGTGGCAGATGCGATGAGCCAGGAAGAGAATAGTGATTATGGCAACAATGCCGATGAGTCTGGAGATGACTCACCCTTCCCTGACGAGGGTGATGATGAGGAGGAAGAGAATGCCGAACCTGATTTGACGAGGGCGCATGCTCCACCTCCCATTAGACCAAGAGTGTACGAGTCCCACGTGCCTTTTCGTTCAAGGCATATTTCATACCTTGATCATTTGCCAAGTACGCCAGATGTGGATGCCCTCACAAGGGATATTGACGAAATTCAGATAGCAATGTGGGATGAATCTAGACCAACGGTGCTGTCAAAGGGCATGCTTTTTCCTGATAAGGCGCGCCTAAGCAGGGCGGTAAGAATGTACAGCGTAAAAGAGTGCCGTGAGATGACGATATGGATGTCATCTCTGGCTATATACAAGGTTGTTTGCCTTAGATGGTTTACGTGTTGTAATTGGATGCTGCGTGCGATAAAGAAGAAAACAAATATGTGAAAAGTGGGTAAATACATTAACACCCACAATAGTGAAAAGGACACATTTAGTGGGAATCACTTCAACTTGGATGTTGACTTGATTTATCTTGTCTTGATTCCACACATTGAATCGTCCATAAGGTACAAGATCAGTGAGTGTATTACATCCGTCCACCAGGAATATGGGTGTACAATTACCAAAATAAAGGCATATCTCGGGCGCAAACGTGTGTTTGAAATTATTTGTGGTGACTGGGATAAGTGATTTGCATCTCTGCCCAAGTACATGGCCGCATTGCAACACTTTAACCCCGGGACTATTGTTGAATGGAAGCTTGAGCGGTGTGCGGGAATACCAGAATTCAGATACGTGCTCTGGACATTTAAACCAGCAATTGATGGTTTTGTGCATTGCCGGCCGGTAATATCCATAGACGGTACTCATGTCTATGGAAAGTATGATATTAAGCTGTTGATCATCGTTGCAGTAGATGCTAATGGATGAATATTTCCCCTAGCTTTTGCCATTTGTGCCAATGAAAGCCAAGATACGTGGATGCTATTTTTGAACCACTTGAAGGACCACGTTGTCAAACAACGTTCAGGTATTTGTCTAATATCTGATCGGCATGACGGTATTTTAAGTTATGTATAACATTTCCTGATTGGAAGGAATCGTAAGTGTACGCGATTAAATCAGAGGGCCCGATTTCCCGCCATCGAGCCACCTCGGGGAGATACCTCGAGACCTTGAGGACATGACGCCACCTCGGGAAGATATCTCAAGACCCCTACGATATGAAGTCACTAATTAGTCCACTCCTTCGAGGCTTGTCGAGGTCTGATTCAAGGCCGAGATAAAGACAAAAGGGGAAGCCCCCAAGACACGCGGTTGAGTCTGACAGGACCGACCTATCCCTAGCCTATGCTGGGGTGTCGAGTCAAGCCATCACATCTTCATATTTCATAAAGTAGATATACATGTATTCATTACTAAGTTTCCTCTCATGTATAAAGGGGACTCGCCCTACCTTGTAAGGGACTGATATTGCTCACACAATTCTAAAAGTGCAATAATATCTCTCTCTCTCTCTCTCTCTTTTCTTACTAATACTTATTGGCTCTCACTGATGCTAAGGATACTTTGATATTCTTAGCCTCTACATGTGTTCTTCATAGTTTAATTCAATTTCAGTTATAAGTAGCTTCGTTTGATTATATCTCTAGCTGTTATACTGATTCAGAGTATCCCCGACAACCCGAGCTCGACCTCGAGGTCGACCTCGAAGTCCCGATCGACCAAGCTTACGCCCGGGTAGCAGACCCTTTGTTTCGATCGTTACCTCGTTTATCTCCTCCCCCATCGTTAAAATTCATAATACTAGCATCATCTGCTCTAACAAACTAGCTTGGGAATAGATCACGTATTTTTAGAGTCCCATTTAATAAATTAAATTGTCGTTACCATTTTCACGGTAAACAGTTTGGTGCCCACCGTGGGGCTAGAAATAATAGTGACTATTTTCTTGTTAGTTTCGTTACACAAACACATTCCATCTTTCACACTTTTTCTTGTCCAAGATCCTTTGATTTCAGGTAAAAATGTCTAGCTCAGTGAACATAGCTGAGAACGACCACCTCGAAGATTACGGGAAAAATGGTATATCTATCCCGGCCGCCGGAGCACCGCTACAGGATCCCGATAACGCACCCGGACCAAAACTAGCGGACGCGGAATCACAGGACGCACAACAAGTCAACAAAACTTCCCACACCAACCGAGAAGCCGACGTCCATATGATTATTGGGGGAGCCGACGCCCCCCGAGGGCCCGCCTCCAAGCGAGCAAGGACACCCACTACAAAAGAAGGGTCGGCTCGGGAGCGCCCTCGTGAAGAAATCCTCATATTCAGTGATGAGGACCTTGAAGCTATGATGGAACCGCACAACGACGCTCTAGTCATCTCGTTTTCTTTCAAACAACACCAAAATAAAGTGTGTACTCGTGGACCCAGGCAGCTCGGTCAACATAATCAGGTCAGATGTAGTAGGACAGCTAGGATTGCTCAATCGAGTCATCCCCACCTCTCGGATCCTCCACGGTTTCAACATGGTCGGAGAGGAAACAAAGGGAGAAATCATTATCCTGATCGACACGTCTGGCACGACCCAGAACACAGAGTTTCTGGTCGTCAACGGTGACATGAAATACAACGCCCTACTTGGCGGACCTTGGATACACAACATAAGGGTCGTGCCCTCGATCTTGCACCAGGTAATAAGGTTTCCTACCAGGGACGGTATCACAACCATACATGGGGGACATCAAGCAGCAAGGGAAATGTTCGCAGTCCACCGCGAGACAACAATTCCCGCACACCCGGCCTTAGATAGGGAGGGAAGCGCGCAGACCTTTGAAGACGAAGAGGAAGACTTCTTCGCACCCCGGACCTTCGTCTCTCCCGAAGAATCCGACGTGACCAAATCAACGGTCGAGGAGCTAGAGCAAACCATTTTGATCAAACACCTCCCGGATCGCAAGGTATACTTGGGTACGGGGCTGACCCCCGAACTCAAGGCAGAATTTATTCAAATCCTCAGTAATAATATCGACTGCTTTGCTTGGTCCCATTTAGATACGACAGGTATTCCACCGGAGATAACGTCCCACAGACTAAGCGTTGACCCCAAGTTCAAGCCCGTGAAGCAAAAAAGGAGACCGTAGTCCGAGGTGAAACATGCCTTCGTCAAAGAGGAAGTGGCGAAACTCCTTAAAATTGGATCCATCAGGGAGGTAAAGTATCCCGAATGGCTGGCTAACGTAGTAGTGGTACCAAAAAAAGGGTATAAGCTAAGAATGTGCGTAGACTATAAATACTTGAACAAGGCATGCCCAAAAGATTCCTTCCCTCTGCCCAATATCGATCGCTTGATCGATGCTACGGCCGGCCACGAGACCCTCACTTTTCTCGATGCCTGCTCGGGGTATAATCAGATCTAGATGAACCCCGAAGATAGGGAAAAGACCTCGTTTATCACAAAATACAGAACATATAGTTATAACGTAATGCCCTTCGGGCTAAAAAACGCGGGAGCAACGTACCAACGGCTAGTTAACAAAATGTTCGAGCACCAGGTAGGAAAATCAATGGAGGTATATATTGATGATATGCTGGTAAAGTCCCTACGCGCAGAGGACCATTTAACCTATTTACAGGAAACCTTTGACATTCTCAGAAGCTACAACATGAAGCTCAATCCTGAGAAATGCGCCTTTAGAGTAGGCTTGGGTAGATTCCTGGGCTTCATGGTCTCAAACAGGGGGATCGAAATCAATCCCGATAAAATAAAGGCCATCGAAGAGATTACGGCGGTAAATAATGTAAAAGTAGTCCAGCGATTAACGGGGCGGATCGCGGCCCTAGGCAGATTCATATCGAGATCGTCAGATAAAAGCCACCATTTCTTTGCCCTGCTTAAAAGGAAGAACAACTTCGAGTGGACTTCAGAATGCCAGCACGCCCTGGAGGAACTAAAACGATACCTGTCCAGCCTGCCATTGCTGCGCACGCCCGAGGAGGGTGAAACACTATATTTGTACCTGGCAGTATCCGAAATAGCGGTAAGCGGAGTATTGGTATGAGAAGAGCAAGGTACGCAATTTCCTATTTATTATGTAAGCCGTACCTTGGGGGACGCCGAAACCCGGTACCCCCATCTAGAAAAGCTGGCGCTCGCGCTAATAAGCGCCTTGCGCAAATTGAAGCCTTATTTTAAGTGCCACCGAGTCTGCGTCCTGAAAACTTATCCCCTCCGGAGTATACTGCATAAACCCGAGCTATCAGGTCAATTGGGTAAATGGGCCATCGAACTCGGAGGGTATGACATCAAGTATCAACCTCGGACACCCATTAAGTCCCAAATCCTAGCAGATCTCGTGGCTGACTTCTCGCCAGCCCTCGTACCCGAGGTAGAGAAAGAGCTTTTATTAAAATCAGGCACTTCCTCCAGAGTATGGACCTTGTTCACGGATGGCGCCACGAACGTAAGAGGCTCCGGACTCGGTATAGTCCTGAGGCTGCCCGCCGGCGGCATAATCAGACAATCCATAAAAACCACGAAACTCACTAACAACGAAGCCGAATACGAGGCTATGATTGCAGGTCTAGATTTGGCCAAAGGTTTGGGAGCCGATATCGTAGAGGAAAAATGCGACTCACTCCTCGTGGTAAGCCAAGTAAACGGAAGCTACGAAGCCCGAGAGGACAGGATGCATAGGTATTTTGACAAAATCCAAATTGCGTTGCGTCGTTTCAAAGAATGGAGTTTAGTACACATATCCCGAGAGCAAAATTGCGAGGCCGGTGCCCCTGAAAACTTGGGATCCTCCGCTGAAGAAGAAGACCTGCTCCCCGGAACAGTCATCCAACTGTTCAAATCTGCGGTCGAGGATGGCCACACGGAAATTAACTCTGCCAGCCTGACATGGGACTGGAGAAACAAATACATCGTTTATCTAAAAGACGGAAAACTGCCCACGAATCCAAAGGAGTCAAGGGACCTGCGAACCAAAGCGGCCCGGTTCTCACTCGACGAAAATGGGGCCCTTTATAGGAGAACTTTCGATGGCCCCCTGGCAAAATGCTTGGGACCGGGCGACACGAAATACGCGCTTTGAGAGATCCATGAGGGCACCTGCGGAAATCATTCCGGGGCCGATTTCTTGGTCCGAAAAGTGATCCGGGCGGGCTACTATTGGGATAGCATGGAGAAAGACGCCAGGGAATTCGTACGAAAATGGGACAAGTGACAAAGGTTCGCCCCCACGATCCACCGGCCCAGAGAACAGCTGCATTCCATTTTGTCGCCATGGCCATTCATGAAATGGGGGATGGACATTGCCGGCCCTTTGCCAACGGCGCCAGGTAAGGCCAGATTCATCTTATTTATGACTGACTATTTCTCAAAATGGGTGGAAGCGCAGGCCTTAGAGAAAATAAGAGAGAAGGAAGTCATCAATTTTATATGGGAACACATCATATGCCGATTTAGTATCACGTCCGAAATAACGTGCAACAACGGGAGGCAATTCATCGGAAGCAAGGTAACGCAGTTCCTTGAGGACAACGGAATTAAGAGGATCCTATCGACGCCATATCACCCGTGTGCAAACGGCCAAGCCAAATCTACAAATAAAAAGCACCAAAGGGAAATGGAGGGAAACACTGCCCGAAGTGTTGTGGGCGTATCGAACAACTCCGAAATCGAGCACCAGCGAGACACCTTTCTCTCTAGTATACGGTGCCGAGGCACTGATACCGGTGTAGGCCGGAGAACAAAGTGCCAGATTCCAACACACTAGCAAGGGATCAAATAACAAAGCCATGGCAACGGCCCTCCAGCTGCTCGACGAAAAATGGGAAGCCTCGCTCGTTCGGATGGCTGCCCAGAAATAGAAAATCGAAAGATACTACAACAGGAGAACGAATATCCGATACTTTGGAGTCGGAGACTTGGTCCTAAGGAAGGTCACCCTCAACACCAGAAATCCTAATGAAGGGAAGCTGGGCCAAAATTGGGAAGGACCCTACCGTGTCCTCTGGATAATTGGCAAAGGCTCCTACAAGCTCGGTACGACGGAGAGCGAGCAACTTCCGAGCAACTAGAATGTATCGATGCTTAAGCGGTATTACTGCTAGGATGGCCGAATATTCAACCCCACGAATATCTTCGAACGGACGTCGTACTCTTTTCCTTCTAAATTTTTTTCCCCAAGCGGGTTTTTTAGCCAACAAGGTTTTTAATAAGGCGACGTCCATGCTTTTCTCCGGAAGGATCCAAGGGACCCACAAGGTTTCTTTCACGGTCAGCTCCGCCCGAGGAATAAAATGAACGAGGCCCCGATCGAAGCACTATATCATGTTGTACTTACATCAGGCAATTAGAAAATATCTTTTCAATGCCTTATTCTCCACACAGAGAAATCTCAGGTGTATCCCCGACATGGGGCCCCCCCTCCACTAAATGCATCCCGAAATACTCGGAGACTTAGTACATGCAATAGGACACTCGGCCGAAACTCCGGGTTCGTAAAGCCCCTACAACGCAGCTCCGAGTTCACAAGGAGCGGTCTTTACACTTAAACAACTTGATGACTCGGAGATTGAAAACAATCGCCATGCCACATCGCCGAAAAAACTGTAAGACCTCAATAGGCATGACAAACTGTAAGACCTCAATAGGCATGACATACTGTAAGACCTCAACAAGCATGAAAATCTCGAAGATTAGGCTATACATCGCATTTGTAAGAATCCCGAAAGGGCATAGCCTCGGTGTAGACGCCTAAACTATCACTCGGGATAAAAAATGGCTACGTCCAAATACACATGACTACGGTCAAAACGGCTGATACAGCCAAAATAACGCGACTCGGGGATGCCCGACCGTAGCTAAACAAAAATTGCAGGCCACTACTTCGAATATATTTCGGAAAGAAATGGTTAAAACGGGCTTCCCTCAACAGGCAAACAATGGGCTATGAACCTTCCGAGGTGCTCGAAATATCGCCGATTACGACTTGAAATCGAGGTTCTTTTAGAACCGATGATGGGTCAGGCAAAATTCTTTCAAAAATACCTTAACGAGCGGAAAACAAAGCCTACAAAAAGCCCACGGGCAAAAACAGCGTAAGAGCCATTGTCGCCAGCTAAGCAAGCCTACAGGCCATATATCAAAAGGTCTCTACGACCAAAAAGCGTAAGAGCCCTTGTCGCCAGCCAAATTGACAACTTGAGGATTAAAGTGAGCTCGAATCTTAACTCGATTTGGAGACTGGATCCAAAATAGTTAACTAAGCAAGCCTACGGGCCACATATCAAAAGGTCTCTACGACCAAACAAGCGTAAGAGCCCTTGTCGCCAGCCAAAACTGACAGCTTAAGGGTCAATTAAGGCTCGAATCGCAACCCGACTCGGAGGCTGGACCCGAAATAAGTTAAACTACAAAATGCCTAAGGGCACGACATAAGTACCACTGTCGCCGATCGAATAAAGCCTCCGGGCCACCCACCTGTAAGGTCACCTCGACCCAGGGCATGAATTACCATTATCCGCCCATACGGGCAGCAAAAAACTCAAGGGTCAAATAAAGCTCGAGTCGCAACGCGCTCGGAGACTGGACCCGAAGCAGCAAAATGACAAAATGACCAAAGGTAAAAAGCTCTTTTGTCCGAGCCAGCCCGAAAATGCCATAAAGCAATATTATAGGCCCGAGGTTTTTGTTCGCCAAATCATCGATAAAATCAAAAAAGAAAATGAAGGTGCAGAATTCTAAACAAACGGAAAAGAACAGCAGGCCCTAATTTATCCCTGAACTAGTGGCTTCGAAAGGTTACATCCAGGTAATTACAGGTCCCGTGAGGACCCCTTCTCAACGGCGTCCCCCCTCTCCGGGGATCCGCCTCCATTTTTCACCCCGCTCGAGCTGCCTTCCAATGCGCCCTCAATAGACAGCCCTCCGAAAACTAGCCAAGCACGACCCACGGTTCAAGGCAATGTCGGGCCAGCCTTCTTCGATGCCCTCTCAACACAGGAATCTGCGACGACTGCTTCTCCCCCATACGAAGATACAAGCGCCTCGACCTCGATTTTGATCCGAAGCAGTGCAGCCACTAACTCAGAATGAAGGCCTTCATACTTGCCTCTATCCTCCCCTGCGTCCTGAAGCTGGCGCTCGATCAAGGTAACTCTCTCCCTAAGGTTGTCCCTCTCAAAAGACACCGCGCATATACGCTGGCTAAGCTCGGAGATCTCAGCATCCCTGGCCCGAGGCTCCCCTCTCAGCAAGGCATTCTCCTTTTCAAACTGCACGGGTCTGGGCCCAAAGAGTTAAAAGCAACGAGATCCTACAAAAACTCGAAGGATAGCAAAGAGCAAGGGATAGACAAATCGTTTAGTGAAAAAAGCTTTCTCATGCTCACGAAGACTCACCTCTTCCTTATACTGGGCGAGGACCTGGTTATAAAGCGCCTCGGCCTGAAACCGCACAAAAGAGTTAAGAAGAGAAAAGGGCGAAGCAGCCCGAAGCAGCAGGCAGTGCTAGGAAAAGTTACCCGCTCACACAGCCTGCCCATTTCACCGAAGATAGACAGGACGTCTGCCTCGAAACTGCCCTCAGAAACGATCGCTGGCCTTCCGATTGCGCCTCCGCCTTTGGTCAGTTCTCCCACCGCAAAAAGCTCCTCGCGAGATTCTTCTTGCATACGGCAAAATAGAAGAATATCCCTCTTTGGGGAAGCAGCGTGGACCAACGGGCCAACGGGGTTAACCTGTACCTCCGTCTTCGGTTCATCCCGGGGTCCAGACGGAGACCCCTCCAAACTAACTATCAAAGGCACCATAGTCCGGGGAGAACCCTGGCCTCCTCTTACATTGAGGTCAGTGCTCGATACTCCATCCATTGCTTTGCTACCACAAACCTGAGCCGCGTCAGCATCGGATCCTTGTCCGGAAGTGTCTACTCCTACGGCCTGGTGATCAACCATCTTCGTGCACCTTTCAAAGGGCGCCGAAAAACTACTTTCCCCCTCACCTTTAACACGAGGATTTTCCGTTACCTCGGGTTCTGGAGCCAAGGGTCGACATCAGAATCCTCCACTCTGCTCCTCTTGAGTTCCGGCACCCCGACTGGCAGGCTCTCCTTCCTCTTCCCCTCCTCGTCATGCATCTGGGCGTCCCCTCCAACAGACGGTGCCTTGGTCACCGGTAGAGTTCCCACCAGACCTGCATAAATACAGATGTCAAAAGCATGGAAAAGAGAAAGCTACTAACACCTCGTCAACGCCGGATTACACGAATGCGTCAAAACTCCAGACCTACTGGGGCCTCTGGCCTCTTGACGGGCTCGGGACAAGTCCCGCCACACTTGGTTGGTATACGGGCAGATTCAGTGCAGACAACAGACCCAACCCCGAAGGTCCGGCACCACGCCGGGATAGATCGCCACGGTTGAGAGAACAAGAAAGGCAGAATCAGACGCGTGAAGAAAAGTTACAAAAGGAAAAAGGGGGCAAGGGCACCGCAACTACTTACGCACAGTGTTCCACTCCTCAAGGAACGACATCTTTTCCGCTGTAACCAGATCAGATGTCCTCACTCGAATGAATCGGCCTAACCACGCATCATCTAATTCCTCAGTAGGGGAAAAAAGGAACCTCGAAGTCCGACAGCGAAGCTTGATTAAACCTCCGCGAAGAAGACAAGGGCTATACATCCCGATTAAATGATTTAGGGTGAAGGGCATCCCATCTATCATGCTCGTATAGTGCCTGATCATGTAAACCACGTGCCAGAACGAAGGGTGGACTTGACCTAGGGTCACCTGGTAGCTCCGGCAGAAGTCAAGAATCACGGGGTCAATCAAGGGCGAGGACGGCCTTACCGGCCCCAGGGAAAATGGATAGGTATACACACTCAGAAAGCCGGCTTTGTAAGCCGTAATATCTTCATCCCGAGCAGGGATCTCCACGAGCACGGAATCTCCCCAGCAGCAGTTTGTTTTCACTCTTTTGATGTCCGTTATAGAGCTAACATACCGAGTCACGGGCTCATGGCACCCTGACTTCGTGGAGGGCCTATCGACCCTAAAATTGGAGGTCATCACAAAAGGTCCCGTACG